TATACGAAATTTGGTCTTTCGTTCGGCTACGTGCTTTAGGATAAACTGTTGAACAACGTTCGATCTTGTGCTGCTTTTCATAGACCTAAATCCGTTTGAATTATATTGATAACAGTTCCAACGGAGATTGCTCTTTAGCTGCAATAGACTGTTGTTTTCTTGGTTTACTTCTTTCTACTCATACGGTCCTGTGTGAAGCTGCTTATCTCTTCTCAGTCCCTAGTGTATGACCGATGTGAAGTAGCCTGTTTTTTTCCTGTTGGAATCATTCTACGTTGCCGAGCCTAGCATAATTTTATAGTCATGAAATAGGAGAAAATTGAGAAGGGTCAATTTAGGCGCCATTGCACTTGCAGATCATCACACTTCAACTGCTATGCAACTGGAGGATCAGAGCCTTTAACCTGTGCAGTCACAAGCCACGGAAGTGTTGAAGGGCAACATTCAAGTTGACTATAGATCGTGAACAACCCTCTATACAATATTTTTCTAATATTTCAACAATGAAGTCACTTGTGGTGAATGTACGTGTTAAATTTTCTGTTACAGAAAACATGAGTTATATTAAACTGCTTCTATGGAGAGTTAAGTGGTATTTTCATTGGTACGCTTTACGGAGACTGTTAAAATATTTTTCATAGGTGGGGTACGTAATATTCAAACGATTTTGAAGCCTCACCACGTCGTTACTGTCAATGTCGCCACATCTGGTCATGCTGTATCTGACGACCATGCATCTTGACAATACCCCTGCAGTGTAGGTTTCATTACAAAAGGCTGTCATAACGTAGTCATGTTAAAAGCACACCACTCCCACTTGCATGTTCTCCGTAATGCTTTTAGTGTACGGGAACGACGGTTTCACACCACTCATTTCAACAGTCCAACTGAACAGAAATCCATAGATGCTGCATCCAGTGATTTGACCAGTATGTATTTGTAGGAATTAGCATGAATACCCCTTTCATTCTGCAGCTACTTAAGATATGCGATGGTTGAATGAATATGTCGTGAAAGTAACAAGTTCGCAGGTGGCTTGTGTTGCTTTTCCAGACCGAAGTCTTTCTTGATTATTTTACGTACTGTTACCTGCGGTACAAGAACAGCTTTTGTCACTGAACTTTGTTTTTATGGTTTCTCACCTGTTACAAGAAATGCTATACTTTGCTTACCACGGTTCGGGTAGAACAGTTTGTAGGTCTTTTTTTATGATCCTGTCGCTTCACATTCCTTTGTTTTCCAATGTCATTAAATAAGTATTGGAAAAAGCGATCAATTTTCGATGGCATCACAATACCTACGTAAGGCCAAACAATAACCGTTCGATACCTTCTGTATCACCGCGACTACATATCGATTGTGGCTGCCACATGACTTACTGATCTGCCTGTTCAAAATTGTTTTATCATATGTTAGTCAATACTCTTTATATGAGGCTTTCTTATTTACAGCCTACGTTATTAGTGATCTTGATAAAACTAGAGCATCATAAGAACTTCAACTAAACATTAAAATGGAAATAAGCATAACAATCCAAGGAAAATGTCTTAAGGGAACCAAGTTTGTTGCAAGATGACTTGAAAGGTTCATTTTTAGTCATCGTACTCTTTTTCTACTCTACTGTGGTGAAAGTCAATGAAGGTCAGATCATATCTACTTTCATCTCTGCTTCACGTCCACAATAACTTTTCTCATGTTATGTTATACTATGTATGCAAAATAAGGTATGCTCGGTTGTAAGATAATCACTGAATATCCCTTATATTTGAGATGATGTAAGCTATTCTATCCATTGATACTCCAACAAACTACTACGAAACGTAAAGCGTACTTCAAGAGTTTTCGACAATCGCCAGATGTTGAATCTACGACAGGTGATTGATACGAATATTCCACTTGTCCCCATGTGCCCCTTACGTACATAAAAAAACAAAAACTATTCAACATTGAATTAATCATGTCTCAAGGGGCTAGTCCTAACTGGTATCATTCCCTAAAGTTACATCATCAGTAAAAAGCAATGTATTATATTAGTCACTGCTACGTTGAATGTGTTATAAATCATGTTATTTTGCAAGACGATTCATAAAACCCTAAACTGCTAACAAAAGCTTCTTTAACAGGTTCTTTTGTTAAAGGTATATATACACACATATACTAAAAGCAGTGAGACTGACAGATTTCACATAAGCATCTTTAATTAGAAAGTCCCTTAGCATTTTTGCATTTTTAGACTTATTGAGCACTAATATATTTTGATTCAATAATAATTGCCAAACCAAAGAAATAAAGTTTTAATTATGAATTTCTTTTGTATATTATTAGCTTACTAGTCCTACAATCTGTAGAAATGAGTGTTTTTCGTTTTCATGTTGAAAAATAAAAAACAACTGTTTCGTCAACTGCTGCTTTTAGCTCTCTGTACACAAACCGAATCAATATATCAATCTCCCAAAACTGTAAGACATTTTGACTAGATATTTTCAACAAGGAAGATTTTTAAATTTAATAATATATACGTACGTTATGCACAATGAAAATACATCAAACACGTGCTTTTCCTCCCTCCTTTTAACTTTGTTTTTCTTACATAAGATCCTAATTATTTTTTTCTCCACAAAGACTCTCTCTCTTCATGAAGTAAAATCACCTGGTAACTTATTCGGTTGTGAGAGTTTCGTAAAATGCAAGTACTATTATTATTTTAGAGTAGACTGTTCTTTGATTGAAAAACTGTTACTTTTTATTAAACGAGAGTTAGTCACCAGAAGCTGTTCGCTCAATCAGAAATAATAAGCAGGTGTTATATTGTTTTTGCTTTGTAAATCTGAATTCTGTTTTTTTTTTAGAATGTATTTCAAAGCCAATTCGCGAAGTATTAAATCGTGGTTTTTTCATTAGGGCTTCTAGTTCTGTAGGTGGTACATAGTTTTTTGTTATTTCCTGCGAAAACAATAACTTCCGGTTTCTAAAAACCAATAAACTGTTGAGTTTCAACAGTAAGTAGGCCAAATCTGGATAAATTAATCAGACTGTCGTGAATTAATCAGACCAAATAGAAAGAACACTAATACAGTGAAGTATTCTGTATTTGTGATCATGTAGTGTTGCAATCCTAATCGATTATTATAATAATGTTTGACTTTAAAAATGTCCCTGATTTTATTTTGATATATGTACTATCTCGTGTATTTATATTCAAAAGGTGAACGAGTAGCACCTGATACGCCCACATAGGACTTACCTGCCACAGCATGTTACGATGCCACACGTGTTCGTACACCTGTTGCACAAAGTAGCACAACGAGAAAAGAAAAACATTTTAAAACAAGGAAACATCTGTCCATGTATATAAACACCCTGGAGCTAATAAAATATCTCCTACTGTGCACACATTCATAATAAATAACTTTATTTAGTACGTTAAACATGCTTTGTACGCTTAACAATCATGTTAGTTATCAACATTTAAAACATTGTGAAGCATTTAAACTATAGAAAAATGAAACTATTTTAGGCAGTTTGGGAAATGTCCCAAAAAGAAATAAAGTATGCCGGGAAAATGATAGAAAGAATAGAAGTTAGAAAGAACTTCAAGTTACAAAATTAAAAAGGGGTATAAAGACAATTTTCTGACAGTATAATGTGATGCGAAGATAAACGAGCGTCCGAGAATAGGAAATAAAGAAAAGACGACGTCAAATCAGAATTACAAGGTCATATAATGGCACCTGAACACTAGTTCCAGACGTCAGCGTTCTGCTTTAACAAATCAGGGAACAGACGCTAACGGTTTTTCCCTCTGGCAATTTCAACAAAAACCGCATCTGTCTGCCTGATCATGTTTGGCTAGAAATAAATGTTCAGAAGAATAATTTTTTTTCATGCATACCATAACAATACAAAATTATGTCTTCCCAATAGTAGAGTTTATATGAAACACTTACGTAGAATATCTTTAAGTATACAACATAACCGAGTGAACAAAAATGAATTATTTTGCTTTGTAGAGCCTCCGTTGTAAGGAAATAATAGAACTTTAAAGATTTGGCCCCGCTAGATTCAGTTTCAAGAACGTACACTGGTTACACGACAAGCATAAGGAAAAGAACAACTCATGCAGATGACATTGCCAATTACATCCTAGAGCACAGCACGACAAAACAGGTTATACGAATATAGTAATGGCCATAAACCTACTGGGCTGTTGGCCCGGTTTCTTACTTGCAGTTCAAAAAATAAAACATAAGATAGTGTCACCATGTGTAACAACGGCATAACTACCACATGAAGGACGCTAGCCTAGATATACCAAACACTGGAGTTCATTCACACGCTGTAAAATTAATGTAGAACATTTGTGTTTAGTGAGTACCCATGCTGTTGAGCAACGGATTAGTTAACCTTAATAAAATTAATGTGGAAAATATTGGTAGAAGAACTAGAACGTGACCAGTTTATAAAAACACTTCAAAGAACCTGAGCGAAGAATAAATCTTGTGTCACAAAATCTTTACAATGCGATAATATTTAGCCAACTTTTAGAAACATTCTATCAACTTTCTGCTATAACTGCAAATAAAAACACTTTCGATTTGCCACAGTCATAATTACACATCTGTCATATTTCTTCTGTGTGTAATATCATTCATATAAATATTCAGTTACTTTGTTTCATGATTGTCTGTGTGTATCTGATACTACAAATAAAATTTAAACCCTCGAATCATAAGGTAGTGGTAATTAATTGTCCTACACATTATACCAGTAAACTCTAACACCTTTTCTACAAACAATAATTACGAAATTTTAACGAGAGGCACAGTAATTGTGTTATTTAATTATGTAAACATATATATTAATTTATTAATGGACGTGTGGTCTGAATTCGAAGGGTCTATTCGCTGTCCTTGTTTATGATACAAATTTTCCAGTTGCTATAACAACAACAAAAAACATATCTTCAATAAAACTTAACAGTAAAACATTGAAGTACCTACCTTTAGAACACACTTTCCAATTTGCTCGTCTTCTTTAATTGTTACATTGTAAAAACTCTGATCGAAGATGGGTTCATTATCGTTAACATCACTTATGGTCACAATAACAGTAGTACTGGAGGATAAAGGAGGTGAACCTCCATCTGAAGCCACCACTATGACTTGAGGAGTCGGATTTGTTTCACAATCAATGTGCCCCCTTGTAGTAATGAGACCTGTTTTGCTATTAATCTGAAACCATTGCGAATGTGTTTCTGGAGTATCTTTGATTGAATACACAATAACAGAATTGTTTCCTTCGTCGAGATCTACAGCAAACAATTGAAAGACCGACGTTCCGGGATCAGTAACCTCTAAAACATTTGCATAATATACAGTTTGATCAAATTCTGGTGCATTGTCGTTCGTATCAGTAACTGCTAGTTCAAATGCACGAGAAGTATTTAGAGGAGGACTACCTTTATCGGTGGCTTTAACAATCATCTTATACGTGGGTTTGGCTTCCCTATCTAGGGGATGAGAAACAATCACAAGGTAAATTATGTTATCCTGTGTGGTCAGCCCGAAATGACCATTTCCTCCATCTAAAGTTACGGATACATTCGCATATTCTTCTTTTGAATCAGGGTCATTCACACTAATTCTTGCAACAAATTCCCCAAGACCTGCACTTTCAGAAATTTTTGGGGAAGCGTCGTCACTGAGAAAGATGAGATTGATGGTTGGTTGGTTGTCATTAACGTCTGTGACCCGGATGGACACAAAAGTTGTGGTCTCCAAAGGCTGAGCTCCGCTATCGTGTGCTACAACGACCAGCTCGTGCACATCACGGGATTCAAAATCTAGTGGTTTATTAACAAAAATTACTCCTGTTTTGGGATCAATTACAAAATATTTTTCTCTGTCACTCTGGCGCCTATTTATAGAATACGAAACCTTTCCGTTTTCTTCAGTATCAGTATCAGTAGCAAAGACTCGCAACACACTAGTGCTAATAGTGGCATTCTCAGCAACAGTAGCAAAATAACGACTCTGGTTAAATATTGGCTGATTATCGTTTACATCTTGAATAGTAATATTTACTCTCATTGTACCTTTATTCGGCGGATTTCCACCATCAAACGCTTCAATCACTAGACTATAGAAAGGAGTTGTCTCACGGTCTAGAAAACCATTAATTTGCAAATCAAGGTATAAAACTTCATCTCGTTCTCGATGCGATGAGAGACGGAATGCATTATTTGTGTTTCCCGAAATAATTTCATATCTTTGAGTATTAAAGATTCCTAGATCGCGATCTTTGGCGGGATTTAGCGTGCGTTTCACGTCACGCGGAGTGTTTTCTGGAAAAGCAATAGTCATCACTGGAGTTGGAAACTCGGGTACATTATCATTTTCATCAAGCACTTTAATCATCACTCGAATATTTTCTCCGCTCATAGGAATAGCAACGAAAGAATAATAGTTTCTCATTTCTCGGTCAAAAACTACACTTGTTCTAATTTCACCAGTTGATTGGTCAATATAAAGATCGGAATCGACAGCACTTCCAGGAACAGGAACAATCAAATATGGTGGTTGAGGTGGCTTTGGATTTTGGTGATTATTTTGACCGATGTATCCAATCGTTACTCCAATGCCTAGTCCTTCAGAAATTGCGAATTCTTGGAGATACTCTCCGGAACATTGCAAGAAGATGAGTGAAAAAAATATTGATTGTATCTCAGCAAGACATTTCCAAGTCATTCTGTTGGCCATTATGAAGAAGGTTTAACTTACTCCTCGTTGACCCAAAAAAATGGCACTACGGTGAAAGAAAATTCTACGTTATTGTTTAGATCCATACATAAAAATAATATGAACGTATTTTTTTCCTTTTATTCTACTCGGGGTGTAAGAAGATAATTCTGGTCAATTTAAATAGACAACCTGTCTTCATCTTCACCAACAAAAAGTATTCTTTTCGATTCTGGTTGAATATTGCTTCCAACTGACGTCAACGGCCTTAAGAATATTCTGCAAAGTAACAATAATAATAATAACTATATGTGTATATATTAATTTTAATTTACACAGCTTTATAAAGATAAGATTGCTACGTGACATGTCTTCATTCAATATGTATTTGAAACGTGCACTCCAGTAAAAATCTTCAGACCCAAGTCAGCAAATACAAAAGAAAACGATTAAGGGCTACCTGCTATAGTAAATGCATACCATACCGCTGTAATGTATTATAATAGTTAGTAGGCTGTATTTTACCAGTTAGGTCAGGTCTTTACTTTCGTGACCAACGTGCTTACAAGGATGAAGAAATTGCTAGGCGTATATGTTTTCGTACGTGAGTTCACTTGAGCACAAATTATAAAAACAGACATGTGTATTGCGTGTGTACGCTAAAAAATATGTATCTCATGAATCAAAGACAAGTATAAGGAGAGATGAACACTACAAATGTAACCAACTTATTCGTATATTTCATATTTAGGTTTCTTTAAATCCGAACTGTAACTCAATCTAATACTTAAGATGCACATTTGTAACCATCTGTTCACAGGATTGTGACAATAATTTTTTTTTTCTGGACATAGATAATTCTTGTATATAAGAGAGTTCTTTATGAACTAACCATAATATGTTCTTAGGGAGAGAGGGGCGATTATATTTAGTAAATTCACTTTAGTCATAGATTTTATCATATTGCCATTAGCAACATAAAAATATCCTATGCTATAAAGGTTAGGTTTTCCTTTTTTATTAGCATTTTCATTCATAAAAACTAGAAAAAACTAATAGTTTTCATGACTTACTTAAGCATACTGCACCCAAATTTCATATTTAAAAACAAATACTAAAGTAAAGTTTGCTAAAGTTTATTGGTTTAAATAATTATATTTGCGTTTCTTTAGAGGATCCAAGAAACGCAAAATGAATTGGAAAAATTCATTAATTATATATTACCTATAGCTATAATTCTATATTCTAATGACTATTTTCATGAGTGTTTTGTCGATTTGTTTAACAAGCAGAAAATTACGCTTTCAGAGCGATGTGTCAAAAAAAGGATGTGTTTAAAGCCGTTTACACTTATGTAGCTGATGATACGAAGCTTTTTTCTTCATGAACCATCTGTGTCTTCCAGTATTCTTCAAACATTTGCTGTCTTATTATCAACAACTAAGTTATTACAAATATTGTATTAATCATGCGCACAAGGTAATTCAAGTCCTGGTTGTTAATTACAAAATGCTTACAACACGCTGGAATAACAAAGAAAGTTAATAAAAATATGTGATAGGTAGTAAGAAATTACTGTTGTATGTAATGCATTCACTAGGAAACATTTGTGCTGGTAAGCTTAAAATTATGCATGTTCGCAATATCTAATTACCAATGGTACGTGTTATATGCCAATAGAACTTATATTCGTCGAAGGAAGCTCTAAACTGTAAATTGTTAGTTTGAAACTTCCTTATTTGTACAGTTTTTTTTTTCTAAGCAAGAAGAGTTAGACGGCCCATTTTCTCCATCCCAAAATTTTTGAAGTCATTTACAAATGTTTATGTTTAAATGTTTTTACTAAAACAAATAATTTCTAATTTTAATATTAACTATAAACTAGATGCATTATTTAAAATTGTAATAACGTTGAATGAAATTTCCCAGTGCTTAACACTAACCACAAGCATGGGTTAGCCTAAAAAACAACAAAAGAAACTTGCAAACAGTGCGATATGTATGTACTGTGGTAACTTGTTTCAACAAACAAAACCATTATGGTGTAATGTTTTTATAGTACGCATATACATAAATGTTTGTAATTTCATCTTATTTCATGAATTCCTGAAGGCCTTTGCGTTATACTCTAAAGCTGATTTCATTTTCAGATGTTCAGATTATCCATTCTCATCAATACATAGGTTTACACCCAGAAGGAAACAATAAGGCCTTTTTTCTTTGAGTATCAGTTGTTTTAAAAAGTTATCGACTTTGAATTTTACACGAATTGTAAAAACATACAATTATATCTTTATTGCCACAGTCAAATGTCATGTGTAAGATTGCATGTGATTTGTAAAATTACTGAAAGTATTTTATTGTCTACTTTTTTCTTTTTTCGTGTTTAAAGCCATTCATCAGTTACTTTCGTTAATGTTTAAACAATCGAAAACGCATTTTTATCGTGTTTCATGATTACACTTAGACGAAAAACGTAACTGACATAAAAAAATTAATACTTGTTTTTAATTGAATTCATGTTGTTGTAAGCGGCGCTTCTTTCTGTAAAAGGTTTCATGTTTCTGAAAAAAAAGAGCCTGTTTGAATGAGCGGAATTCAAAACAGCGTGAGCTCTTGTTAAACTTACAAATGTTCCAACAGACCTTGCTATCTGGTCATGAAACTACCAGTCTAAATCTTCATTTTACTAGCTTGCTTGGTATAGTATTTGTCAGTGCTTTTGTGTATATGATTTTATTTTTAGAGATAAAATTCCATATACTGTAATCTCCTAAGTAGAAATGTATACTAAGCTATTAAGAATACTTGGGTTCATGTTGTATTCCAATTTTCGTATATAATATAATTTTACGTCAGCAGCAATGATAAGACTAAATTAAGGATTTTTTTCAAATGTTTTGTAATTGTTCGGGGTTATTTTTACTTAGTATTAAGCATTTTGATTAGTTAGAAGTTGGCCAAGACAAGATATAGAAATTTTGCTTCCAATAAAATACAAAACAAAGAACACTAAAACATTTATTGCCTTAAGCATACTGTTTTTTCATCAGTCGGTAATTATAATTATCATACAAAAAATGTGATATGTAGGGCTTTGACGAAAATAATATTTACATAAGAATAAAAAGTTTATGTTTTCATTGTCTTTTTGTTTATAATCATTGATATATATGATATATAAGAAGTCCACGGGTTGTGCGCTTATTTATTCAACACTGAATTTGCGAGATAGTAAAGTATTCACACGTGTGTTTCTTGGTTTCTGCGATCACGATAATTTTGAAAAGTAAATACACGTTTCACCTACAGCTACCTGATCTTGAAGTTCACAAGTCCTCACCACGCATATTTGTTTCACAGTTTTATTGCTAACTTTGTTCTCTATCTCCATAATCGAATAACACTGATTTGAAACAACTGAACTGTAAATTTGTTTGGTAATAATTTCTTATTCAAACCTCTTAAACACAGTCTGTCGTTCTTTTAAGTACAAGATAGCGTTGCTCATGGGTGTATACAGAAATAAATTAATCTAATAGCAGATGGGATACAGCTATATTTTATTTTACTCTATGCAATCACCCTAAATATCCTTCTCAAAGCCCTCGATTTTTCCCACCCATCTCAGCTCACTCTAAGCTAAGTCAAAACGTCTGGTTAATATATCTGCAACATGATTTCTTTTGCTAGGTAGTGTATATACAACATGTTTTCTTCTTTTAATCTATTCTCGGCAGTAAATAACGCGTTTCTATTTTTCCATCCGTTTGTTTTCCTATATTCCTGAAAAGTATAAAGTAGAAATGTATTAAAGCATTGTCTTTTGGCGCTAAATTGTCCACAGTTTCTTTACATGGGCTTCTAAAGACTTGATTGAAAATAAAAAATTAAACCTCGAAAAATGAATTATAAGTAACATTACACACGGTTTCTTTTTTATGCATTTACTTGCATATCATAACTGAGATTTCTCAGGTCCCCATACTCGAGTTCTTAAAAACATAACACCCTAAATTAAGAGAATTAATTTACATGTTTTCTCTATTTAAAAGTTAAACATAAAAATATGGTAATTATGATATCAAACACTGAATAATGGTCAAATCCATCAGAAATATGGTGGATTATTTGTAGTGTGACTGCAAATTATTTCATCATAACAAACTCTTTCGCGTTAGAAATATATGTGTGGAATTCTTAAATGCGACTAACTTGCATGGTATCACGCAAAGGCTAAACACATAACTTACTTGAAAAGTATGCATGAGAAGTAAATTCGAAAAATATAACTAAAGTCGAATTATTCAGTAAACCTAAGATATTAGACTGAAGATTAACTTACATGTAACAAAGTAATCGTAAAGTGGGACCCATTTTGCGAACTTCTTGTGTTGAAATGAAATATAGCATGTGAGGAACATAATCCAACGTAGTTGGTCAAAGTGAATAAAACACGTGTATTTATTAAAACTATAATTCCAACTCGTGGTTATTTCTTTACTTTTCTATTTATAACAAAGGAACTTTTCATAAAAACCAAAACACAGCAATCAGATCCACAGGTTAGAATTACATAAATATAATTAAAATCTTAAGGACTCTATAATTTAGCTTACATCAATTAAGAATAATTCAGTTTTGGTATAGTTTACAAGTAAAGTGGGTGTGTTCTCTTCCTTTCAGAAGATCGTTTGGTTACATTCAGGTTTATACTTATATGATCTAAGTTAAAATTAGACTTGGTAACGTACTTACAGCAACAGCATAGCGTTTTGCCGGCTCTAATCCCAAACACACTTTTTCAAAGGCTTGTTGAAATAAACACAATACACTACGCACCAGTAGGATCAGCCTTAAGTACTTAACTAGGTTTTCCTAAACTCTCTTGTCAGCTGATTTTCAAGTAAGCCTATCGGTTACGTTCGTTTCCATTGAATAAGTAAATGAGAACCTATCACATACACATATAAAACATAGACACCTCAACCTTCCTCAAGCAATAGGACACTACGACTAACGCTGTGCTTTAGGT